ATTGACTTGATTCTTGGTTGTAATGGCTATGTTTGGGTTGGTGAACATGTTGAAGTGAAAGATCCCATGTTAGTAGAGGACCAATCAAACAAATCTGAGCAACAAAATGCAGATTCAGAAAATTCAATGAGCGCTGATGAAGTCGAGACTTGTACTCCACTTGAAACTAGGCAAAACATATGCAGGACTGCAAATGCCATCCGAGTACTTTCTACCTTAGGCTTACTGATTACTGTGGAAGTAATCACGGCAATAGTAAACCTGAGCACGTCTTTGAGTCTGGATATACACGAGATGCTGGGACCAGAGTTTTATGTACTAGTTGCTGAGAAAGAAGCTGAACGTCGAAGCTCATTAGGAAGAAAGAGATGATCATGCGATTTAATTTACTTCACAAGGTTTATACTCTTCTATGGTCTACTTCTGAGTATCACTAGAAGTTTTAATCGTGTGTACTATTATTACAAGCATTCGTTTATTTGGCAAAATATATTTCAAATTGGTCACCTAAATTCATTATCTTCATTTTTTCCCGGTTTCTGATTCTTTTTCATTAAGTAGGGTGGCAATGTGAACATAATAACTTGTTTAAGGATATTAACAGTTCGCTAAATGATTAATTATTAAAACGATTGTGTTACTAGAACATCACAATTTACAGATTTATTTACCGACATATAACACATCAAAATTTCATTGGATCAAAATTTCATCAACCAAATAATAATAATGATAAATCTTCATCACTTTCTTCTTGACATCTTATCAATCTATAAAAAATTATGTAAAGGGTGATGTGCAACAATAATTTTCCTTGTTAAAAATATGGCGTTTTGCTCTATAATTAACAGGCGGAAAAACAATTCAAATTCTATTTTTCTAGTTTAAATTATTTTTGGAGCAATTAACCCATATGAAGGTCAAACCCGTACATAATTAAAAATGTAGTTTGTTTTTCTTTTTCTTTTTAAATTTTAAAAGAATAAGGTAAAACAGATTGGAAAAAGTCAAAAGTGTTATTTTTATTCTACCCATCTTGGCATTTGAGTTGGTAAGGATGCGAATTTGTCACCTTCTTGTTTAATATGGAAATTGCACAAGAGGTCCCTAACCTATGCACTGTAGATAATTAGGTCCTCAACCTGTTAAACTGAGTATTTGGGCCTCCAACCTATTGCCTTTAGAGCATTACAACCCTTAATGTATGAAACTGTCTATTTGATTTTTTAAAAAGTCAAATTTATGCCTCATGCTAATATATAAATGAAATCCTATTTTATCTTAAAAACAGTTGTTGAAGATAGAGGGAGCAAAAGCATCTTCTTAGGATATAGAGCAAGATTTTGAAAAGTAATCTACTTTTATTTCTTTATTCTTTTCATACAAATTGTGTAAGTTTTTTTAAGAATGATCGAATTTTTGATAGAGAAGTTGTCCCGACAAAACCATGTTAATGTAATGGCAGCACGAACATCTCCCTTCCAAAAAGCCGCATAACGAACCGTTTCAAAAAAAACCAAAACATTGTACATAACAAGCGATTGGACAGTACAAAGGAAATGATATTTGATCTAGTGAGTAAGGTAATACTCGTGCAAAAGCGTATAAAACTATACACAATGTACAACGTCATGCTCATGTATGAACCAAGCCCTTAAGAACTTATGGAGTACGATAAACATAACTTGACAATAAAGAGAACTTTATTTTTTTCTTCATGGTTATCTTATTCACCTTACTACGAGGTCACAAAGGATATTTTGTTCTTAAAATCTTCCACACATGAACGACATCATGTAGAAAAGATCAAAATTCAGCCTTTGAAGGTAAAATCTCGTTTTTTTTTCTTCCTTAATATTGTCCATTTCTATCTAATTTACCTCACTACGAAGCACCATGAAGATATGTTGCGCCTCACGTATTTCTGCACATTTACAGCCTCAAATACGGACAATCATATCTCACCCTTTAAAGGTTAAAGCTCATCTTTCACTGGTGTTGCCTCGTAACACTTTTCATCCCAATAATAAGGAAACTTCAATTTGGCTGCGGTGTGTGGCATGAGCCAATCATCATATATGAACCTGAAACCAAAAATTCGGAAGCAATAAGTGAGGTGTATGCAGAAAATATAAAAGTTCCAGAAAGGAATAGATTCTATCTAATTCTTATTTTCCCAGCACAAAATCCCTAATCCATTGCAGTTAGTTGGCACAGTATATGTCAACATTGCCTGCATGATATGAAATTTCTTGGTGGACTTAATAGTATTTGAACTTGGGTCAGCATTATAAGCTCGGTTTAATGCATTAACTAAGTTACAAATAACAACTTATTTAAACTGAAATGCATGTAATAATCTAGGAATAAACGACTTACACTTTCACTGGCGGCCGTGTTATGATCACTAACACCTGTAGATCCTCACTTTCATTAGTATTCCAGACCTGCAATAGGAACGGTAGACAGACACAGTCAACAATGCTCCAAATGCAATCAAAATCACATTCTATACAAATTTTCTGACGGTCCCACTATTTGCTAAATGATTGAGAACAGTACTGCCCAAATTTTCATTGAGAAAACAAAAAAACAAAATATAATTCTGCCAAGATGTTCAACATATATTGAAGTACATGTAAAATAATTAAAAAAGACGCTAATATGTCCATCTCCCCATAAGTACAGCTTATTTAATAGCAATTGTATAAACTCCTCCTTCCCTCCTGCTTCACCTTCTCCTTTTGTCAAGTTGCTAAACCAATCAAGTTGAATGGATTCCATTTATGTTACAATCCCAAAGAGGATTGGATATCCCAAGGAAAATGATAAATCAATAGAGGACTCTATGCATCCTCTAGCATAATGGTGTTAAGTTTTACAGCTACTTGCTCACACGTGATCTTAGTTTATTGCATCAAGAAAGCAAATGCTTCCACCCATATGTAGTGGGCCTTGTTTGCTTTGAAATCGCCTTTCATTTTGACATCCTTGTATATACCATTGAAATGTTATTATCCATAGATAAAAAGATGATAATGGAATATATTGGCTCATTAGTTTCTCAAAGTCCTCCTTTAGTCACAACCTATGAAAAACAACACATTCTTTTGAAAAAATTCTTTTCATTGTTGATGTTTGACTATGAAATGAACAATATCTTTTGAACGCATAATGCACGTCTCTTACCCTTAAAAGTGTATGGAAATCTCGTAGTCAGCTCTTCAACGTATAAATTAATCAATCAAAATATTTGCAGGCTCCATCTCTATGAAGGAAATCATCCCAAATGCAAATGCACAATTGCATGTGTAATTTCTCAAGTGATATACAAAAAATGTCTCCACAAAAAAGATCAATCTTGGTTCCCTTGTTTTCATCCAGACCCAGTTACCAGAGGTGTGAAGAATTTATGGATGCTCCAATGGTTTCCATTGGTTAATATATCCATGTTTTCATTGGTTAGTCGCTATAAGGTATCTAAAATTTATGGATGCTCCAATGGTTTAGTTTCACAAAGAAATCAGCAATCTTTAAGATTTGTTAAACCAGCTCATCAGTTT